AATGTTTAGAAGAATAACTGATTATTAATTATTAATACAAATATATATTTAAGAAAATGTATTAAGCTGTATGATTCATTTGTCATATTTTCCATCATAATGTACTCATCATTTACAAAAGGATTGCAACAGGGGCGTCCCCGCCAGAGAATAATGCTATATGGGGGTCCTTGGCATGGCAAAGTTTGGGAACCCCTGTACTAAGTGACTTTACACCACTGCTCTGGATGAATGAGTGTGTTAGGGGTGAATGCTGGCTTGTGTTCAAACTTGGAGAGGTCGCTCAGATCAGAAATATGCTATAAATATTAAATATTAAAGAGGGCTGTGGAACTCTATGATGGTTGAGCTAGCGGGTCATACTGTATTCCGGGGCTTCTTCCCCACTCTAACGGTTTCATTCAACCAGGGGACCTATGACTCGTGTCTCCTCCTCTGTCTCCTCCTTAAAGGCAATTGTGTCAAAATAAATTCCAAAAATACATAGCTTTTTTCTGAAAGGATCTTAATGCATATATATTCTAGAGCAGTCAAGCAAAAAAAAAATCCAACTAATGACATGCTTTTTGAATAAGAAATCTAGGGACATTAGAGATGAATAAACTGTTTGATTTAATAATATCTTTTAATTGGAGGGGCCTTTCATAGCACCCAAGGATAGCTCCAATAAACACTTAACAAGTTAACACAGCAAAATATATAATAACAGGGAGGACAGAAAAAGAGACATACTTTAAAAGCAGTTATGTATGGGGGACAGGAAGTAGCATTGATGAACAAACCGGACGACTGTGATTAGGCTGATCTGAACAGCTGTGTTTAGGAGGTAACCCTAACGTGTTGAACAAGATGTGCTGGATTCAGACAGGGATGGAGTCTGGAGATGTGCTGTCCAGGGTGACACCGAGGCTCTTGACCGTGTCCTATTTTCCTACTTTGTTGGTTAATTTGTCTCTCACTGTTTCCTCATGTTCCATACCCCTCTGTTCCCTCAGGAGGAGCACACGCTGTGCTCTCTGTCAGGCAGTGCCATGACTCCAGAGAGCCAGTTGGAGGAGTCCACCTCCCCTGCAGACACCACGGAGGACGACCCACTGCCCATGAGGCCTTGGGGAAGGAGCCAATCACTGCCTGCCTATGCTGACCTCATCATGGTAAATCACAGTAATGATGCACCCACACTGTACTTTGGCTAGTAAGTCCTCCAACAATGCAACATGCAACATAGTTGTTGTAAATAGAGTAACATAAAATAAAAGCAGAATGTAAAATGAAGTACTGTCCAGTGGAATACAATCAATGCACATTCTAATAACGTATAAATAAATATGTAGACTTTAAACATAATGTGGTATTCGGGACAGCCCTAGTGGATAGGTGTGATTACCTTTATCGCAAAGTAGATGCATTTTATTTTCTGTGAATGAGCATTGTTCTCTTTCTCTGTCCTTCCTCTCTGTCTGTGTGCAGAGGGCCAGTGGCTCGTCTTTCTGCAATAATCTGGCAGACACCAGAGAAGAAGCAGACGACAGTGGGACCAGCTCCCCAAAGGTAGCAACTTTACCACTAAATGTCATCAAATAAGCACGTGAAAGATACAGCTGTGGTAAAGCACAAATACAGTGTATATGAAATATTTGTAGTTGCAGAGTGTATGACAACATCTTGCAGGCTGAAATCATACATGCTTATTTGAATTGTTACACAGTTAGTAATGATTTAAATGTATGAACACATACTGTCTCCAGTCTAATGATGTAAAACTGGTTGTTGTTGTTATGTTTCACAGATGGACAGGTCCGACATAGAGGACGAGCCAGAGGGCGGGGTGTTCAACCCTGAAGGGGAGAAAGAGAGAGAGAAGGAGGAGGCCACTGTTAGTCCTGACGCTGTCAACCAGCTGGACTTCTACCAAGCAGACCCCTTCGCCCACTGCCAGAGTGAGCGTATGTATCACTGTCAGGCTGATAGGGCCTCTCGCTGAATCACTGCGTAACAAAATGACGTTTTCTTTTGGACAAATATCTGTCACAGAACAGGTTGCACTTCTGAGGTCTAGTTCATTGAATTACCACTTTCCAACCAGACCAGACATATCAGATAAGCCCATGCTGAATTCTGTGATGATGCTACATTGTAAATAACACATTCCCCATATGTATGACATAGCTGTTAGCATCCAGTGGGCAGTAAAGTATACTATATGACATACATTTAGCTCTAAGCAGCTTATAATAAATAATTAATGTATGAAAAAAAAACAATTCAAATAAAAAAACAATCATTAATTTTCTAATTATTCACATTTTTATTCCAATAACTACTATAGATGACTTTTTACAAAGTAAAAGCATAACATTTAGAATTGGGGCTAATTTAAACTAGCATCGATAAGAAATGTTGTCCCACTGTTCATAACTCTAACATCTGCCCTGGTGAGGACTCGGAGCCAGTTGCAGTCTTAGTAAACTGCTAAACAAATGTTTACGTGGTTTCATCATGTATCTTTCTTTTTTATTAGATTCTTTTACAATTTATGTCTGACTTGATTTGTAGATGACCTCTTCAATGAAGACCTGTTCCATAAAACTGACTCGTCTGGTGAGTAATAATACTCTAGTTAACTACATTCATTTCACTTTAAGGTGTTCTACTTACCATATACTGTGATTTTATTTGTATTTGAAACTCTCTGAAAGCAAGTATTATATAATTATGGATTCAATGCTTCATTGTGGTTATATGTACAAACACAAATCTAGTGTAAACTCAATCGTAGGATTCAAAATGCTTTTAGAAAGTGGGGTTCACTCAAATATTAAACTCAAGTAAAATGTTGAAGTGCTTGTCCTTCATACTTTTAATCCACTCCAATTAAGGGACAAATACTGTTTACTGTGCAATATGCATTGTTATTGATTTTTACCAACAATCCTGTTCAAATGACCTCAACATATGCATATAATTTTTCATAATGAATGCTCAAATACAACACATTTTGCGGCGAATGCTTAGCATTTGATTTGATTTTACTTATGTACCACTGCTTCTGGTTTCAGGCTTTCTATCTGCTGCTGACACAACTCTTACTGGTACAGCTACTGTTGTTGAGAGTGCTTGTATCATGGGGCCTGGTTCAGATTTTCTCTTTGTTTTCAATATGATCTAAATTATTAAACCATTGTGACACATCACTGAGTTTTTATGAATTCTCTGTTTGCCAGGTGGATTTGCTTCAGACCCTTTCAAAGGCAGCGACCCCTTCGCAGCAGATGTTCTGTTTCCAGAGGCGCAGGTTGATGATGGGGCGGGAAATATTGGGAATGAAGCCGACACTAGTCTGTCCTGCGCTGAAACCAAAGCCTCAACAGGAACTCAGTGCTTCGAGTCTGAGTTCCCCAACGAAGACAGCGACATCGAGATTAGCTACAGTCAAGAGGACCTGGACGCCATCGCCCAGGGAGACGATCCTCTGGGGTTCAAACCCATCCAGAGCTCCTCTGAGGAGCTGGGGCCGGTGCCGATCCAGGGCTGGAGGTCCCAGGGGCAGTACTCCATAGAATCAGACCCCAATGGGTATGAGCTGGACCTGGGCGCTGTCTCCCCCCCCTCTGACATAGAAGAACTGAGTCTGGTATATCCACCTGAAAAGGCTGCCACCAAGACCACAGCAGGACTGGAACAAGGTCATTTTACACACACACATACACACTTTTCAAATGTTATACTCATTTTTATACTATGTTCTTCCGTCCTTTGGTCTCTTGAAAGGCGCTATAAAAATTGAAATTATTATTATTATTCTATCGTATATATTTGTTATACTTAAGTGTTTTAAATTACAACACATGCATCTTGCTTTCCTACGTATTAATGTCTAAGGGCAGTGGCGGAAAGTACTTCAAAAGTATATTTACTCAAGTACTGTATTTAAGTGCACATTTGAGATACTTGTACCCAAGTATTTTCATTGGGTACTATTTCATACATTACATCTACTACATTACAAGCAAGCAATTGTTTTAATTGTAACTCCACTGTATTAAAGGTGGGGTAGGTAATTTTGGAGAAACCAGCTTGAGTGCGCTAGAATTTGAAAATACACAACCGGAAAAAAATCTGCCACTTCCTTACAGAGCCCCTCCTCCAACACACACGAACGCGCACATGACCAATGAGGGAACGAGATAAGTTTGTGCACAGATGGAAGGCTGACAGGCAGGTAGGCCATCCAGTTATTTTAGCCGGGCCGGCTCAGATGATTGGTCGTGCTTTTTACAGTACTACGGCTTCCACAGATGACATTTTTTTATGGATTTTTTGTCAAAGCACTTAAGATATTCATTGCTATCGGGATGTTAAGAGCATTCCATGGAATATAACAAAAAGTGTATCTCGAGCCGGTTTCTCAAACTTACCTACCCCACCTTTAATTTTAGAGATTTAATATCTGGTTACTTTTAAAAGTCAGATTTTGACACACAATAAACAAACACAAAACACTTTTAAAAAATGCATAATTGCAATTAAAACATCAAACTTTATATTTAAGTAACTAAAACAATATGTGGGTTAACTGAAAATGAATTGGCAGCAAATTGTTAGTTCAAAAATATTTCACAGTTCCAGCTTCTTAAATGTGAATATTTGCTGCTCGTTCTTTACATTTTTTTTTTTTTCTAAAGATGAGTACTTTACTTCTTATACTTTATGTACATTTTCCTAATCGAACGTTAATACTTTTTCTGTAAAAACACTGAGTATTTTTACAGTGTGCTGTTAGTCATTTTAATCAAGTAAATAATCTGAATACTTTTTCACCATTGCTAAAGTACTTCTTCTTTTAAGTAACTAAAACAAGAACGAAACTGAGGTATAGAGTCAGCTGATCCTTTACGGTTAAATAAAAAATTGAGATCTATTATTTTATATTATACATAAATGAGTTGCTTAAATAATATGAATACAAGTATTAAGTATGATGAACAAACAGCTTGATTCCTGTGGGCTCCTGTCTTTGAACTTCTCCCCATGGATTTAACCAGCTCTGCGCAGCACCGTTGTTACTGGTTGATTTCGTCATGTATCCTTTACTGGCCTCTACATGAACTACTATGTGATATGTGGTCCTCTTTAAATACATTTCAAATGTTTCTCATGTCCTAGCCTTGACAGCTTAATGTTTTCTTCTCTAGGTCTGAGTCCTGGTTCAGCTCCGGCTGTTCCTCAGCTTGCAGAACAACTCACAGCATGTGTTGGCGACATGGAAAAGGAACCCCAAAAACGTGCTACTCCCCAAAACTCCCATGACTCCGATAACCTTTTCAATCTGCCAGACTCTTATCAGAACAGAGAGCTCAGCTTCGATTTAAACTACAAACCGACCAGTCAGTCTTTCTTCGACCCATACGGCTTCAAACTCAGTCCAGAGCATTCCAGTCACACCCTCCTGGACCCTGATGAGGCTGAACTCAGCCCAGAACCAACTGAAAACGACCTGATCTTTGACCCTGAGCCCTCCTCTAGTCAACCAGACCAACTGACCATGGATCAGTATGAGTTTGACATCACTTCCTCCCAAATGCTGCGGGACTCTGACCCTTATGGCTTCAAGCTCAGCCCTGAGGAAGAGAACCAAGAGGTCCTGGACCTCTCTGGCCATGCTACCCAGGAGGCAATGGACCTTTGCAACTATGACGACACAGAACAGGTAGAACCCTCTAACTATAGCAACCAGGAAGTACTTGAACCTGAAAACCAAGAAGTGCTTGAACATTGTCGCCACAATGACCAGGAGCTGCTGGATTTGTGTAACAATGGAAACCTTGAAGTGCTGGAAGCTTCTGGGCTGGACAACACCGGGTTGGTTAGCAATGAAAACCAGCAACTCCTAGATATCTGTAGTGATGACAACCAGGAGGTGGTGGATCCCTATTGCAATACCACGGAGGAAGAACTACTTGAGCCTTGTAACTATGATAACCAACAAGTGCTGGAACCTTGTAGCCATGGCAATCAGGAACTGCTGGATTTCTCCCTTCCTGAAAATAAGGAAGTGCTGGATTTAGATAGCCACGGCAACCAAGACTTAGTGGATTTTGGTAGCAAAGAAAATCATGAAGTTGTAGTTTCAGGTAGCCACTCTAACCAGGAACTCCTGGATCTCGGTAGCAACGAAAATCAGGAACTGCTAGATTTAGGTAGCCATGACAACCAGGAGGTGCTGGACTTGTTTGGTAAGGAAGTTCTCCCTGAAGCAAACAACAACCAATACTTTGTGGAACCAGAGCATTATGTCTGTCCTACCAATAACAGCTCAGACAGCGATGTGGCCTCAGAGGACCTGCCTGGACTGGACCTCAGCAACACCAGTATCTGCTCCACCAACGGAACATACACTGCCGACCCCTTCAACACCTCTGCCCCCCACAACTTTGCTACATTCAACACCCCCAGCGGCCCCAACCTGCTGGAAGGTGACCTCGGTTCAGTGTTTGGAGCTGGAGGATACATTGGGTGTCCTGATGTAGCAGACGACCTGGCCCCCCTGGAGAGAAGGCAGGCCAACCCTGTAGCAGAGCCGATACGGCCCTTCAGACCAGTGAGGCCTCCTCGGCCCTCGCTACGGGTGAGTGGGAAACACACAAATGCAACTCACACAGGGTAATCTTCAGATTATCGGTTCTTAAAGGTCCCATGTCATGCTTTTCCGGTTATTACCCGTCCCCTTGTGTGTTATGAAGGTTCTTCTGCATGTAAAAGGTCTGCAGAGTCACAAACCCTCAAAGTACACCCTGTAGCGAGTAAAACTCTAACACAGAAAAGACATGTCTGTGCTACCCCAGAATGCCTCGTTGGGGATTTCTCTTTTTCCATTTTTTTCTTCTTCTACAGTGACGTGCCCATACCCAAATGGACCCATTGGTCCAAATGGACCAATCCGTGGAGCCGTTACGTTACGTCCGCGGAGCCATTAGGTTAAGACTTCCTCACACACACACACACACTCAATCTTTTTTTTCAGCTGCAGCTCCGCCGATTTCCCCTCCCTGAGACGGCGGGACGCGGCGAGGCTGTGAGTCGGTGTGTGTTCGGGCTGGGTTTCGCTGTGTCTCGCTGTCTCGCAGACGGCCACTGGGCTCACAGGGAGGGGCAGGAGCTCCAACAAGCCGTTTAGGACAGAGAGTGAATACACATACTATACAGAGATGCTGTATGAGAAACCAATGTGAGTTTAGAACATTGCAAAATATAAATCTATTCTAGTATACCTCAACAATGGAATTATGGTCAGTAGAAATGGCCATGACATGGGACCTTTAAGCTGCTTTTTCATTCGATTTGCTCTTTGCTCTCCGTGAGGTTGGGCGCAGAGACTTGCGGTGAAGACAGCGAGTTAAGTTTTCTTTTTAATGGTTATATACCTGCTAGCTTGCCCTAACAAAGTCAGCGGCATTGTTACGGCCGCCGCCTCCCCGGTCCTATTAACTCTGCTTCGACTGTGTTTTATGTAAATGAGCTGTGCGGTTGCCCTGATGTCATTGGCTACTCATCTACTGTATGCTACTGGTCCGCCCCCGAAGATTGTGATTGGAGCATGCCTATGGAATCAAATTAGGGTCAATAATATTCACAAATTATTTCACAGTCTGCAGTTGTATATCACCTGTTGTGCGCATGTGAAAAGATTTTGTGCATGTGTAAAAAAGTTTTGTGCACACAGATATAATTTGCTCGTGTAAAAACATTTTGCAGATGTAGAAATATTTTGTGCAAGGATATTTACAACAGTGAGGTTTCACAAAGTCTGAGATACGGACACACAAATTTCCTATCTGTGTGTGCGAACCTGAAGTTACAAGCTACAAGCTGCTATTTACGAGTACGAATTTTGACCCTGTTTTTACGCCTGAGTATGTTAGCCAATCAGCACGTTGCCCACTGACTAGACAATCAGCACGTAGCCCACTGACCATCCAATCATAGGACACAAGGTTCTAACGCGTTCGTTTTGCTGACCTGCGCCACTTGGAGCGTGCTTGCGGGAGTCAACATGGAGGAGCCCGAGGCGAACTCTTCTGGGACACAGGTGGGTTAATTACATGCTACCACGGAACATGCCACTACAGTTTTAATTAACTAACGTTACATCGTAATTAACTAAATATATCAAGACAGCTGTGCGTGCATCCCGGAGTTACTTAAATTGTATATTTAACGCTAGCTAGTTGATGTGGTCTTTGCTATTGTCTTAGCTAGCTACAGTCTGTTGGCTAAATTAACGTTTGTTGTTGTTGTGCCGTTTGAATGAGTAACGTTAATGTTAAAGAAAGTAATGCAACACTTTTGTCGGGTGCTTCCTGACATAATGCCCCGGGCATTTAATATGGAGAGGAAGGTAACGTAACGTTAGTTAGCCAAAGGTCGAAAAGGTTCAGTTTCCAATCCGACTTGTGTTCACGTCAGCTGGAAAATAAAGCAAGTGAACCGAAAAGGAACGGTAAAGTGGGCTAACCATACGATCTTTCAAATCTAAAAGGGTACAATCAACAGTAGTGGATTGTCAATACAGCAAAATATGCTCAGTCTTATGTTTTATAAACGGAGAACATTGGTTTAATCTGCCATACACCTCTTTCATCAGCTGCTAAATGTATTTAGTGTTTGATATATGTTATAACATGTATCCCACAGGAAAATAACTCCTTAATAGAGAGAGCTGTTCGCAGCTTTGTGGACATCTTGTCAAATGCACAGCCAAAAATTCAAGTTTCAAGTTTGCCACAAGCTCACCAGCGGTCAGCCATAACAACAACTCGAGGAGACATGCAAAGGTATGATTTGACAGGCATGAGTATAATTTATTTGTTGCTCATTATTGTTACTCAATATAACTTTGAAAAGGTAGAAGGCAGGACCGCACTCCAAGGTTAGTGAGGTGACGACTCCAGAGAATCATGTACAAACAAACGACAGAATGGGGGACGCACACTCCAGCTCAGATGCAAAGTCATCATGCAATAAAACAATCAATAAAACAATGACTTTGCAATCGGAGCTGGAGTGTGAATCTATTCTGTCATTTGTTTGCTCTCAATATAACTTTATCGTAACCTAAGTAATCGTTATGCTCCAGCCACCAGCCACCAGCCCGCCTCCAGACAACAGCCCATCTCCAGCCACCAGCCCAACAGCAAGCAGCCTCAAGTGTACAGAGGGAAATGCTAAGGTATGATAGTCATACTTACAGTGTATCCATTGCTAATTTCTGTTAGTGTTTTTTATGGATGTGCACACCCTCACATGAACTAAGACATAAGCTATCGCTGTAATTAGACTTGTTTATTAAGAACTAAAACTGAAGTTCTCTCCCTTTTTGAAATATTTTTTGACCTTATATTATTAGGATGATTTTGAGATTTGTTGTGACAATTATAGTATTTCATACAGCCCATTTTAATTTGTTTGATAGGTCATTTCCAGCATTCTACCAGGGGAGGAAGAATCGAGGAAAGAGGCCTTTTCCGAGCGGCAGTCTAATAATTCCCGCTGTCAAACAGCTTGAGTTCAATTTTTGTCTGATGCCCGAGAGTACTAATAAAACTCCGAAAAATGAGATAAGGCTTCTGCAGGCAGGACTTGGAAGGCGTACAATCAGCATTAATGATAGTGCTGATCATGAAGAGGTACTACATTTGTCTGTATTTCAGCTCAAACATTTATTTAAGGAATGCCATGGTACATCGTTCAGGAGCTGTTAACATAGGAATTAGTCCATTGGCCAGAGCCCAACATTTCTCTTGTTGGTACCAGTCAAGGTGGCAAAGCTTGCTTCTAATTTTTTGAAAAGATAGCCTACAAGGGTACTACCTATACTATATGAGGACCTTATGTGAGAGATTTTTGCGAACATCATTATTCTAATTTAAGGCCCCCAATCACCTCTCAATGGAATAGTATGGGTATATTATACATTCTCTGAATCCTAGTGAGTATTCCAGTTTTTGAGTTCTGTGTCTGTGATGTTCCTAGATGCCACAGGGTTAAAAGAAAGTATATAGAGTCATTATAACAATAAAACAGGAAATGACAAGACTAGAGACACAAGACATGAAATTAAACTAACAAACAGGAACTTAACGCTGACGAGACATGACAGATATGCACCATGCAATTTATAGGATATGCGTCTAAAATGCAACTTGTGGTTGTGGTTGGTGGTTAACTTCACGAGCTGATTGCTGTGACAAAGCTGCCACTCAGGAATGCTTATCATACTAAAATATCATCTACAGACATGTGTATTTTCACAAATTTGAAGTACATTTTGCCACCTTGTCTGGTACCGGAATCTGGTTTGGCCCATAGACTAAATTGGGTATGTCTAACATCTGGAAAAAAGGAGGGAGAGGGTGCATGGAAAAGAATACTTATGATTTTCATGTCATATTTCAATCTAGATTACCAGAGTCCTCACTGAAGAATACCCCAAAATGAAGAACCTAACAGGAGGTTGGCTGCTATATAAAGCGGCAGGTATGAAGTATTGCTGCATTAATAGTTTATTAATTTATATATGAAGAACCTTGTGTCTGTGAGGGAAAAAGATTAAGTATTGTATGTTGGTCAAATTAATGCACTGCTTTTAGTTTATATAGTTCTCTATATGACTGAATTTGTTAAATTAAGGTCTAACAGTCAAATATTTTATAAATTTAAGGTACTAAAAGTACCACATAATACAAAGAGGATATGTCCTAATATCTATACTTATGATCTTTGTACTAAGTTGTTCTGATGTTTTGTCAATACACTTCAGGAGGCACTTGGCAAAAGGAAGATCTTAACAGTTACTGATGTTTATTGCCCAATAATGGCATAAAGAGGATACATTTTATACATAAATGTGAATTATACACCCTGTTAATGATTGAAAAAGACAACAACAGGGTTGACCTGTTTTGTTTAATAATGTTTTTTATAATACATCTATTTTCTTTTCCATTCAATATTTGAGGTGGTAGTGGACAGAGGACCATTTCTGTGGTGGCCCAAGGCTACACAGCCAAGATGCTTAAGTCGAACACAATCAATGGGAAACACCCACTGTATATCGTCCCTCTTCAAGAGAAATTTGATACTACACCTCTTCCTCCTGATGCTGCAGAGTTCTGCAAAATGCCAAAGTCACAGTGCAAGAGTTGTGGGAAAACATTGCCCCTTCAGCTGCTTGTCATTCACATTGAAACTTGTGGCCATGTAAGTATTTTGTAAAAAGTAATTTCACCCTAAATACTTCAATTGTACAACCAATAATGCCCCTAAACTTCAAACAAAGGAAATCTCTTTGATATTGAAGGAAGTGTGGTAGTTTGTATACTGAAAATCTCAAATACATTGCCAGGAATCTGACTCAGAACAGCTCCAGGAAGGTGAGGTGGAGAAACAACATGAAGCTGATGTTGAAGATCAAGTCCAGGTTAGAGGAATGTAAATTTGACAACTCAGTGTATCCAAACATTAAACATGTTCTGAAGCAAACCAACTCGACTTATTCAATACTCTTGCTCACTTGTCACGTAGTAGTAAAATGTAAAACTACATGGCCAACAGTACTGTGCATCTATGACATTGTGTCTATGATAAATACTGAATGTTTGACAAGTTCCCGTTTCCCCTTCAGTGTACCTGTCCAGTTTGTGGTGGCCAGTATCCTGCAGATCTCTTGCCCTATCATGCCAGTTCATGTGGTGAAAGGTAATCAAATTTCATTGTGAAACTAAATTTAAAAAATATTTAAAACTGAAATCTATCCGTTCCTGATTTAAAGTGCACCTGAGGATCTACCAAGTTCATCAAGCAGTTCAGACAGAGCTAGACCACATCGCAGTCAGGAAGAACATGACAGCATTTCAACTCCTGACCTTGATGCTGAGAGAATGGGCGTGGACACACATGAAGGTACTTAACAAATATTTTCCTGTTCACTAATAGCATTTTGCTACTTAAATATTGTAATAATGTTTTCAAAATGCCAGTTAATATAATCATTTTTTAAATGTGAGGTGTGATGCTACACTGCTTGAGATGTAGCCCTCAAGTGTTCAAAAACTTGTTATAAACTTTGTACCTAACGTACAGATACAGTTAAAAAAAACAATGTTCTTCAATATTTTTGCCTCAAATCTTTAATTATTATAAGTATAGCTTGGAAAACCATCCTTTGCCCACAAGCGGCAGCAACCCTCTTCAAAAGACATCTTTTGCGGAAAAATGAGGTGGAACCCCCAATCAGGGCAAGCGTGGACATCCGGGAGGACCAAGAATCCCAAAGTAGGGAAATACTTGCCTTCTACAAAAGCCCACAAGTTGACTGGGCACGCCCTCTACGGTGTACTTTACAAGGTAATGATACTATAGACCTTTACTCTGCCATAATGTTAGTATCATTATGTGTGCATGAATATTCAGTGATTCTTGTGCTATCATTCATAGGTGATGCAGCTGTTGGAGTTGGGGTACAAAGACACTTTCTTAGCTTGGCAATGTTTAAATTGCAGCATGGATTCAACATAAACAGTGGTATGATTTTGTGTTCATTTCAAATGTATTTCGAGTGTTATGTTTACTGATGGTGAAATAAGCCTTTGTGAAGCATTGACGCTTTTTGGCCAATTGTATTGGAAATGGGTTCAATACTCCAGTGCATGTGAGGACCTGCTGGTGGAATAAATGTAATACAGGCAAATTAGGAAGGTGTTCAGTTGGGATGCGATTACAGGAATTTGAATTTGTGTATGACAAATGTTGAAGATCTTCTTAGATTTGATGTTTAGATATGATTGATGTTTGTCTGACTATAAGAGCTGTTTCTGTGTCCTCTACTGTGAATAATTAATAAGCCAAAGGAAAATGAAATCTTACAAATGGAAATTGTAAGATTATTCCAGGGTGGAGAGTTTGCTTGGGTATTGCTTGTGTAATGATCATGTAATGATCAAATAATACATCATGAGGACAAAATGGTTTATGACAATAATCCACGCGTGCTACTAAAACCAACAGGTAATGCAACGTTTCAGAAATGTTTAAAACGGTGAATCTCACAACATTGTCAAAAGTTCCACCTTCCAAACCGAAACATGTCATGTCATTTGACGAGCAATGAAGCACTGCAGCAGGCTTTGGCACAGTGGTCCAGATTTAGTTGCCAAGCAAGTGTGCTGCATGCTCTGGAGCTTCAATTTCTAACAAAACATCACTAGCTATGTTTACAAGGTGATAGTTTGATTTTTTTCCATTTGCCTTCATCCTGTATTTATATTTCATAGGTGTGAGCAACATTACCCTTCTTTTTGAGGGAGAGCAGGACCACCTCCTCCCCGCCACCTCCCAGATCCTAGTAGAGAGTAACCTCTTTGTAGTTGCCGGGAGGATGATTGGACATTCTTTCTTGCATGGTGGCCCTGTACTTCACGGATTCAGTGAAGCAATCATTCACATGTTGCTTCATGGAGATGTGGACACTGCCACAATATACCTTGCTGACGTGGCAGATCTCGACCTTCGGGAAACCATTCACATGGTAAAAAAAAAAGAAATTACTTTAATTTCTTTTTTACTTAAATTGACTGTTTGTTCAACTCTTTACTCCAACGCAACATATCTCAAAATCTATTGGGTGCATTTCCATCACATGGGCTGAGCACATTCATGCTCCCAGAATGAACTCTGGTTATTTAGATGACCTCAGAACCTTTCCTCTAGCCCCACTCTCAGGCCAAAATGTCAAATTTGCATGGGAGGAGATATCACTAAATTGTAGTAGAACATTGCCATGATTGAGTTATTTTTCTCAAAGGAAGATTCCTCTTCATTTTGATGAGCCCATTACTTTTCCTCTCGCAAAACGCTGTGACCAAAGTGTCACATGTTGTTAATGGTTGTGGACAGTTGAATCAACAGGTTAAATTGGACCTGTGGTTATTAAGTATTGATTCATTTCAATTAAAATATAGTTTTAACAATATTTTACAGCTGCTAATTAGTCAGTTGAAATGAATATGAACATGTCGAAATGGATTGAAAATCAGAGCAAAAACTATATTTGGAATTTAGGTTAACAATATTTGTTCTGTTCTGTTCTTAAGCTTGATGGAGATGAACTCCTGTCTGACCAGCAGACGAACGAAATCAACAATCTTGCCTTTTCCTGGGACCTACCTGCTATAAAGCCAGTAAATCGCAGATGGCTATTCCAGCAACTGATGCAACATGCGGTGAGATTACAGCTGATAGTCAACCCACTTTATTTATTACATTTTGCCTAAATAAAGACTGCTGAATCAAAACTTATCTTAAAGCATTCCTATATGCAATACTGTTACTTTAGCACTTCAACATCCAGCTGATTTAATTGAAACAACTTCTTAATACCGTAACTCCCTAGGTGATTGGACGAAGAACAAAGCAGATAAAGCAGATTAGAAAGGGACTCAAGGACACAAAGGTGTGGACATTGCTCAAAGAGAAGCCAGAAACAGCCCGGATTGTATTCCCTCGTCAAGCAAACGCTTTCCCCACTGCCCAGGTAAACACTGTGCCCACCATACACCATAGCACGTATGAATAAACAGTTATTGT